CGTGTACGGGCTGTTGTTTGGCAACACCGGGTACTTGACGGAGTTGTCGCACATTGTTGCTCCATGTTTTGTGCACCAGGAACCTCACTGTGGTGTGTGCTAATGATTTATTGTGTTCTTGTGTACAGGCTTGTTTGAAGCAACCTCCCAGGTTTTCTTGTTTTGAATGAATAGTTCTACATTCAATTGCTGTCTGTTTACAACCGTCTATCTTTTTTGTGTGTTTTTGTGTATGTGCACGTGTGTGTAGTAATGCCATCTCGGTGGACAGTTTACTGCCTGTCTGTTCACGTGTCTTTACCAACACCTCAAAAGTTCTAAACCTACTCCCGGAATGGTTATTCGGGCAGCCCCATGTTTACAGCCCACACGAGACCCTCCAGTCCCTGTTCAACCCTGTACATGTGGAGCAGATGGTCGTTCCGACTAGTCGCCTCTGGATAAAAGATATTTTCCCTGCCACACACACGTTTCGGATGTGGACCGGTTGTACACACATGACCACCTGACCTGATTCTGATTGGTCTTCTCCCCGACGACACAATCTATCTACCCTGGCTCTTCGGTGTGCATCTCTTGCCAGTGAATGTCTCGCCTTAGGGGCAGAGATACATTCATTCATGACGTCATGTGGTCACCATCCAAGCTAATACATTTCAGCCACCTCCCACCTTTTTGTTCTTCTCAGTAAGATTGAAGTTAACTAAGTTGAAGTTAAGGTCCCTTGTTCACGCCTCCAGGGGTATTGGGTGTACAGAAATAGACCTGTGTTTTATAGACCAAACGGCACTCGGTGGCTGATGTGGTCAGCATCACTCCGGCCGCCTTTACTTTCCAGGACTGTACTGGTACCCACTCAAGGCTGAGTCGACCTGGTAGCCAAGGTCATTAAAAAAAAATCCGGCTCCTATCAGGACTCGAACACACGACCTTTCGATCCGCAGTGGAGCGTCTAGCCCGTTAACTAAATTGCTGCGTTTAAAAATGGGGAATATGGAGTGAACATCATCTATCACCAGGCATCCATTTACATAACAAATAGGGCACACGACATTCAGCTTTTGAGTTGCAGGGCCATGCTTGCTGCTGGTATTGCCTGAAGCCTGTTGTTGATAACATGGACTTGATAATTACTGGTAGTTGTCAGCCTCTAGAAGCACTGTCAGCAGAGTTTTCTCAGTTTAGGACCGGAATAGACAACAGCACATCTTTGGTCAAGGTTGCCGCTCAAGAGACCTCTGATGTTTTCATATTTGAAATAGATGGCAGACTTGAGTGCGGGTTAAAGCCATTCAGATTGACATGGTGCTGTCGGCACATGTGTGTTTTCTCTGTCCTTGACAGTGTCAACAATTTAGGCTACAACCAGCTCACTGATGCGCTTCCATACAAGTTAAGTCTCTTGCCAGCTAGGCTTACTATGTTCAGCCAGTTATATTTCGGTTGCCGCGACTTCGGTGGGGACGGCTACAGTTACCAGTAACACTTGTGCTTGTCTGGCATTCCGCTAGCCCTCATTATGCACGCCACGTTGAAGTGCCGTCGCTGGTGTAATGCAGTCTATTGATTATACATGGCTACAGTGACTCACTGCTCAAGTATGTCCGCTGGAATCCATTGCTCTCAGACACCGATTCTCTCCACACCCTAGTTCGTCTGACTTGATTGTATTTCCTGGTTTTCTCCACTAGTCATTGGGGCAACTCCCCGGGGTGAACTCTCGTGAACCCCGGCTGTAAGCTCGGGAACTACGCTGCATTATTTATTGACCTGTCTATTATCAAGTTTAACTGTGCTAGAAATTAATCCAATGAACTGGGACTTAAAAAGCTTGACGAAAGGTGGGAGTGGAATAACGTACACATAACAGGAGAAAACAAGTACTCCAGATCAACGGTTCGGAGCTGGGGGCCTTTCTCAGTAACAGATATCCAGTCAAGTGCCCCCTGGGGGTTACTTGAATACTTACAAAACACAACAGTAACAGAGGAGAAAGTACTCCAGTCACCACAGGATGAAAGTAACAGGAGAAAGTACCCAGTCACCAGTGCCCCCTGGGTGTTACGTGAATGCTTACAAAACACAGCAGTAACAGAGGAGAAAGTACTCCAGTCACCAGTGCCCCCTGGGGTTACGTGAATGCTTACAAAAACAGGAAGAGAAAAGGTGACCTATGATAATAATCCTTTTCAGTGTCATCACGCGATCAGCAGTCAGTGGGTGTCTCGGTGGTTAGAACACAGGTCTGGAATTGACAAGTGTTAGGTCAAACCTGAGTAAGGCAGACACAGTGGGAATCTTCTCCAGTCTCCACAGAAGCATTGAATCATCAGTGATGAATCACTGTAGCCACCCCCCCCCCCCCCCCCCCCCAGTGGACAACAGCCATATCAACCCTGGCACACTGGATCGCCAGATGATTATGTCATGGCAGCATCTGTTCCTGGAGCTGAACCAGCAACAGCATGAGTACAGGTAGATTATCTCTGTGGACATTGAATTGAGACGACATTCTGAAGTAAAGGGGCGTGGCGGTGGCTCTCTGTGATGCCACAGTCTGCAGGCATGGCAGTTTGGCAACTAGACCACACTTGTATCTCAGGAAAAGCTGGTCTGAAATATAAATTTCCTGTGCAGTGTAGGTACAGGTCAAGGTGGGATCTAGTCTGTCAGTGGTATCTGTCTCGTTGTCATCATCAAATGCCTTGTCTGTCAGTGGTATCTGTCTCGTTGTCATCATCAAATGCCTTGTCTGGCAGTGACAGTGATGTTGCTCCATATTGTGCTGTCTTCAACAGTTTGATGACAGTACATATTTGTTCTTTACTTATTCGTTGATCTTTGCAGGCAGGTTGTTGTAATTCTTCAACCAGTATCATTACATCGTCGTCCCCTGCACTGTGGGCACTGTTGTGTATAAAACATAGTACATATCTGTTTTACTTGTAAAGCTCTTTCATGTAGTGTTCTGAGAATGTGATACCTGCCCAAGGCTGATCTCCACCAGTTTACCAGCTGTAATAATGATGTTTGTTGAAGCCCTTACTGAACAACAGTGGCGGCAAACACTAGGGCTGCTTAACCTGATACCCCAGCTGTGAATAGGTTGCACCATTGCCGAAGACTTGTTTATCTAAGGCTTGCTGGGGCTTGATACACGTTTCTTGTATGACTACATTGGTTGCCCTGTGTGTGACTCATTGATAAACCTGGCCTTGTTTTGTGCCTTGCCACTTACTGCCTTTCAATGTGACCCTGGTGGTAACAAGTCTGCCTACGTCCTAGAGACAGTAGTCAGGTCAGCAGTGGGTTATCTCTTTATGAAAAGCCAGTCCAGGTGGCTGTTGGGGTGTGTCGCATGGCTGCTGAGAGAAAAGACACGGGTATAGGCGAGCTTGATGCTAAAGTGCCATCATCATCAGGAGCACCAGCAGCAGTACCATCACTACCACTGTTACCCTGGGTGGGTTCTGGGTCCCTGTGATGGAGAAAACAAGTATAGTACCACTAGTTCCCTGACAAGCATATCGTCAGTCCACTACTTAGCAGATTTTAAAAAAATCGGTGCCTCTACCTGAGGGTCAAGGAACCAACAGTCTACACACAAATAAGCCAGATCTGTAAAACGGATGTGCATGCAACACTTAGGTTTTGGAACAAGACTAATGTCCGGAATTGTTAAAAACTACCAGAATTTTCTGTCAGAGTTGACAGCCGGTGAATGCAGAAACACCCATGCTCGCTCGCTGTTGCAGCTACCACTCTCAAATAGAATGTATCATTTCCTGAGCTGTGTTTCCATGCCAAGGATCACAACTGTTAAGACACATCTCTCACTGGCTTCCCCTGTCTTTTTTTGCCATCCATTTCATCAGCTTTTGCAGTGTTCCCGCTTTTTTTTTTAAAAAGTACTTTGTCATAATGTTTTAAAAAAAAAATCCAATCACTTGTGAGAGGTAAGGTGGCCTGTTATTTTCTTGGTAGGTTGAGTGTAGAGCAAAATGATTGAGCTTCAGAATGGAATAACAGTGTCAGTCACATGTTAGGTTCATGGTTTAGCAAGGAATAACAGTGTCAGTCACATGTTAGGTTCATGGTTTAGCAAGGAATAACAGTGTCAGTCACATGTTAGGTTCATGGTTTAGCATGTCTGCTTCCTGATTTCTGTTGTCCACTAGCTTTTGAGCAGAATGGGGGACATTGAGCAGAATTGGGGACATTGAGCAGAATGGGAGACATTTGAGCAGAATTGGGGACATTGAGCAGAATGGGAGCCATTGAACAGAATTGGGGGACATTGAGCAGAATTGGGGGACATTGAGCGGCCCATTTTGTGATGTTTGTCACAAGTAGTTGAGCAGAATGGGGGACATTGAGCAGAATTGGGGGACATTGAGCAGAATGGGGGACATTGAGCAGAATTGGGGGACATTGAGCAGAATGGGGGACATTGAGCAGAGTTGGGGGACATTGAGCAGCCCATTTTGTGATGTTTGTGACAAGTAGTTGAGCAGAGTAGGAGGGGGGGGGGGGGGGGACATTGAGCGGTCCCATTCTGTGATGTTTGTGACATGTAGTTGAGCAGAGTGGGGGACAGTGAGCGGCCCATTCTGTGATGTTTGTGACATGTAGTTGAGCAGAGTGGGGGACAGTGAGCGCCCTATTTTGTGATGTTTGTGACAAGTAGTTGAGCAGAGTCACATGGGGGGACATTGAGCGGCAGTCCATGTTTGGTGATGTTTGTGACAAGTAGTTGAGCAGATGTAGGGGGGGGGGGGGGGACATTGATGGCGGTCCATTCTGTGATGTTTGTGACAAGTAGTTGAGCAGAGTGGGGGACATTGAGCGGCCCATTCTGTGATGTTTGTGACAAGTAGTTGAGCAGAGTGGGGGACATTGAGCGGCCCATTCTGTGATGTTTGTAACAAGTTGTTGAGCAGAGTCAGGATGTGGTTTGCAGCTGATTGGCTTTCATACATAATGTCTTTTGTTGCTTTCAGGATTTCGCTGCTGGGATGTGGAAGACACTGGGATCAACATCAATGAGGAGCTGGCTCAGATTGCAAACAGAGCCTCCTTGGGAGTGGAGGGCATCAATGGTGGGTAGACCAGGTCTTCTACTTACTTCCACCACAGTCACTTCCCCTCCACTACAAATGTTATAGGAGTGGCGTATTTTTTTTTTTTTTTTTTCAATTTGTTACAAAGTTTAACTTTTTTTTTCTCTCTCCATGAACTCTCTTTTCATTGCCAGCTTACCCAGGAGCTCCTTATACACACCCACACCCCCAATTTAAAATACAGCCCTGTAGTTTATATATCCATTTACTAATGGCATTAACAGTTTCTTTAAATGCTTGCTTGTTGTCCTTGCTTCTCTTCCATACAGTAGTAGTGTTCAGTGTATATTCTGTCTGACCATCCTCCTGTTTCACTGGTTCCTGGCACTGGATAGGACACTGTGGGGATCTGACAGTAGTGTAACTGTTGTGTCTTTTCGTGGAACCCTCAGGGCAGATTGATAGGAAGGGACCTGAAACATAAGAAGAGAATTCGAAATAGAATATGTGTAGGATAAAGGAGCTGCACAATATTGCAAAACATAACAATGGTTTAACGTCTGTTGATTGAGGGCCAGTGCAACTAGATAGTTTAGAGGACAAAAGAAGAAAACATTTGCCATTTTAAAGTTATTATCTCTGAACCCATTTTGCCGTGGTATGCTTAAAAAAGGGGACCATGACCCCATTGGAATTGCACGTAACAATTTTACACGGGTCACTAAAAAACTTAAACATTTTGTTCCCAAAATTGTATAAAGATGTAATCCACCAAAGATAAATGTATAGGGTGGAGCATTACATAGCATACATTCCTGGGGCCTTAAAAAACATGTCGGGTGACTCTTGCTGTGACCTCTATCATTGAGGCTACTGGAAAATTTGACATCAACCTGGCTTTTAAAAAAAAATATCTGGGGCAAAGTAAATGGCTCTTAAATGCTATTATTAGATAAGGCAGTCATATCTCCTTCTTCTTAGAGTCCGTGCCAAGTAGCATTAGTAGTCATGTCTATCCAAAATCTTCTGTCTCATGTACTTTCAATCAACCCTGACACAGATGATCTTCCATGCCATGATGTCAACTGTCCAGCAACTGTTCTCATGGTCTCCCTCTGCCTCTTCTCCCCTGCAACTCTCCTACCGTCACAATGTACTCCAGTTTTCTCCTTCTCATCACTTGACCAAAAAATGTAGATTGTCTCTTTCTGATGTGGGCAATCAGTTCTCTTCATGGGTCGTTTTCTTTTAAGACGTCTTCATTACTTCTTTTTTTTATTTGTCCAGGGTGTTCTCATCTTTTGTCAATAAAACCACATCTCCTCAGCTTCCAAATAAATTTTCACTAATTTACTAACTGTCCATGATTCACATCTGTATATCTATGTAGGATTTATATAGCTTTTGAGAATTGTCTAATATCATGACCTCGTACATGTTTGTGCATGTGCAAAAAAACAACAACCAGTAGCATTTACTATGCATCTCGTAAGCATGTCACTGTAGACAAGTCAGAAAAGTGACATTTAAGGGGAATTGTGCCCAGCCAGAAGTGTCAGTTTTGCAGTTTCTCTGAGTGAAAGGGTTAAATGACCAAATATTTTAAAAATTGAATACTGTTAGATAAATGTTTCTCTTTTTTAGATTAAATGTTGACCATTTTCTGCCAACTTGTCTCCTCACCTGTTCAAGCTCACTGAAAGGAAAATTATTCTAGCCGCCAACTCTGTTTAGGCATTTGCATGTGGCATGTCCACGTTGTCCAGCAGGATATTATTACCGGGGGGGGGGGGGGGGGGGGGGGTTACATTTTATGAACTGACATAGCAGCCTCAAGAAGTTCATGGCCAGGTTTGGATATCTGAGCTCCAGTAGATTGATTCTATTTGTATTTATGACACAAACATTGAAATTCCCTTTGTGGGTTCTGGGACATTATGTGGGGAAAAACAAGATGAAACCCACCCGATCCCCAACAAGCATATTTTAGGGGTTGACTCATTGGCATATCTGCCTGAAATGCAAGAAACCCACAGTCTGCATACAAATAAGCCAGATCTGACAGGTTCTGGAACAAGACTAAATTCTGGATGGGGACAAACAACCAGAACTTTCAGAGTTGACAGACTGTCAGTGTGAACGGGAAGAAGAAGAGGAAGAAATATTGCTGATTGCTGGCATGGTATGATTGACTCTTGTGTTGTTTGTTCCTCTTGCTAGCCAGCAACAAGCCAGGTAGGGGTCACATGCATGCAGTGTCTATCTCTCTCTCTCTGTGTGTGTGCTATTTGTGGCTCTGATTTTTGTGTATTTCTGTCTCTTTTTTTATTGCTATAGCTGCACTTAAAACATATCCCTCTTTGTTACCTTTCTTTATGGTTTTATGCATTGTCTTTCTTTAGCCACCAAAGTTGTGTTGCTTTCAAAAAAAATTTTTTATGGCACTTATTTAATTTAGAATGTAGTTTACTTCCATTGTTTGTGTGTGTCAATAGTTAAGTGGTTTATAAATGTGTAAACACATCAATTTTCAAACATCAAATATCCATTGTTTGTGTCAATAGTTAAGTGGTTTATAATTGTGTAAACACATTAATTTTCAAACATCAAATATCCATTGTTTGTGTCAATAGTTAAGTGGTTTATAAATGTGTAAACACATCAATTTTCAAACATCAAATATCCATTGTTTGCATTTCACTTGTTTGTTGTTTAACTTAATCTAAAAACATTCAACTTTCAGACATCAAATATCCATTGTTTGTGTCAATAGTGAAGTGGTTTAAATTGTGTAAACACATTAATTTTCAAACAGTGTCAAATGTCCATTGTTTGTGTCCAATAGTTAAGTGGTTTACAATTGTGAAAAACACATTAATTTTCAAACATCAAATATCCATTGTTTGTGTCAATAGTAAGTGGTTTTATAATTGTGTCCAAACAACATTAATTTTCAAACATCAAATATCCATTGTTTGTGTCAATAGTTAAGTGGTTTATAAATGTGTAAACACATCAATTTTCAGACATCAAATATCCATTGTTTGCATTTTACTTGTTTGTTGTTTAACTTAATCTAAAACATTTTGTTTTGTTGGTGTACTTAATCTAAAACATTTTGTTTTGTTGGTGTACTTAATCTAAAACATTTTGTTGTGTTGGTGTATTATCTTATGTTGTGAGTGTGGTGTTTGTCTTATGTTGTGAGTGTAGTGTCCTGTGGTATATGTTGTCTTACGTTGTGAGTATGGTGTGGTGAGTGTTGATGGACATCAGCTCATACTTCTCCTCAGTAGAAGAGAGCGTAATCTGCCAGCATATGTGGTGTTTTGTATCAGTATCTGTCCACACAACACGCGCTCCAACACACATACAAACATCATTGTTATTGTTGCCTCTGCCACACAACCTCTGCCACCCAACCTCTGCCACACAGCCTCTGCCACCCAACCTTTGCCACCCAACCTCTGCCACACAACCTCTGCCACCCAATCTCTGCCACATAACCTCTGCCACCCAACCTCTGCCACACAATCTCTGCCACACAACCTTTCTGACTTTGGTATTTGTAGTTTTGATGTTTTGGGTTATGTTTGATTTAGCTTGTGACACCAGTGTATGAACATTAACTTTTAGTATTTATCTGTGCCACTCAAAAGGACTCATAGTTCGACCCAAATACCTCTTAGTGTGGTTCTAACAGCTGGGACTCTGCAAGTCTAGAATAGCTATGGTCATCATCATCATCATCTTATGCCATGGTGTGTCACATTGGGCTCAATCTCAAACACATGGCATGTGCGCCATTGTGGTATTTCTACCAGTTATTTTTGATCATCTCTGTGTTGATGTTTTCAGTTAAAGTTGACCAGAAATGTTCAACTTCAGATGTCAGTTGCCAGTTGGGGTCCAGCAGGTTTTGTCCAAGTCATGACTTCAGATGTCAGTTTCCAGTTGGGGTCCAGCAGGTTTTGTCCAAGACATGACTTCAGATGTCAGTTGCCAGTTGGAGTCCAGAAGGTTTTGTCCAAGTCATGACTTCAGATGTCAGTTGCCAGTTGGAGTCCAGCAGGTTTTGTCCAAGTCATGACTTCAGATGTCATTCGCCAGTTGGGGTCCAGCAGGTTTTGTCCAAGACATGCACTTCAGATGTCAGTTGCCAGTCGGGGTCCAGCAGGTTTTGTCCAAGTCATGACTTCAGATGTCAGTTGAAGTCCAGCAGGTTTTGTCCAAGTCATGACTTCAGATGTCAGTTAGAGTCCAGCAGGTTTTGTCCAAGTCATGACTTCAGAAGTCAGTTGCCAGTTGGGGTCCAGCAGATTTTGTCCAAGTCATGACTTCAGATGTCATTCGCCAGTTGGGGCCCAGCAGGTTTTGTCCAAGACATGACTTCAGATGTCAGTTGCCAGTTGGAGTCCAGAAGGTTTTGTCCAAGTCATGACTTCAGATGTCATTTGCCAGTTAGGGTCTAGAAGGTTTTGTCCAAGACATGACTTCAGATGTCAGTTGCCAGTCAGAGTCCAGCAGGTTTTGTCCAAGTCATGACTTCAGATATCAGTTGCCAGTCGGAGTCCAGCAGGTTTTGTCCAAGTCATGACTTCAGATGTCAGTTGCCAGTCAGAGTCCAGCAGGTTTTGTCCAAGTCATGACTTGAGATGTCAGTTGCCAGTCGGGGTCCAGCTGGTTTTGTCCAAGTCATGACTTCAGTTGCCAGTCGGAGTCCAGCAGGTTTTGTCCAAGTCATTGTTAGTTGGATTTTGCAGCTGAAAGTATCCTTTCTGTGACCAACCCTCCTTGATGGCCTCTTCCAGCGTGGTATACTACAGAGTTACTATTATTGTCTTTGCGTGGGGACTGCTGATCACAAGAGCCTGATCTAACTCAGATTTGTGCTTATATTGTAACTGCTGTATTGTGTGATCAATTCAGTGTACTGATTTATAGTAAAACAAAACAACCACCCTTGAAAGAAGGATGGCCTTGTAAATTTGACATTGTTAGCACTGAGACCTGGAGCATTCAAGCCATTGCAGTCTCTGCCCGACTGCCTCAGCTCCAGCACTTGGTCCTCATTGGTGTGCTTTTGTTTATAGTTATGTGAGGGCACACAGGGCACATTTATTGAGGATTTTAAAAAAAACTAGTTTGTGTTTGACAACTGTGTCCATGTGCCGTCACAGTTTGATAACTGTGTCCATGTGCTGTCACAGTTTGATAACTGTGTCCATGTGCTGTGACAGTCACAGTCTAGTTACAGATGACTTGCTTATCTTTGATTGTGCATGCTGAATGTGTTGATGTTCTGTGAACCTCATCCCCATTAAAATCACTTTCCTTTTCCTGCTCCATTACCTTTCCGCTCCTTCTCATCTCTCCAACCCCTTCACACAAATGGGAGCTGACATTATTTGTACTTATACTCACTGGTCATATTTCCACACAAGAGTTGCTCTCTGGATTCAGTCAGTCCCAGATGGAAAGTTATATGTTGGTAGAATGTTATATGTTGGTAAAATTAGTCTTAGAATGTTAAATCTGTTGATATAATTCATGCCAGCTGGAATATTATCTGTTAGCTTGCACATTATGAGTTCTAAAATGTAACAGTAAACTGGAGAAAATTAAAATTATGTCATCTGTGTGGTAACATTAAGAGGGCCATGTTATGTTTATCTGTATAATAATTTCAATGATTTTGTTAGTCATAAATTTGTGGGTGCTTTTGTCAGTTGATATGAAAACGCTTATGCATCTATGGTGCTTCTGTCAATATGTGTGAAAACACTCATACATCTATGGTGCTTTTGTCAGTCTGTGAAAACACTGATACATCTATGGTGCTTTTGTCAGTCTGTGAAAACACTGATACATCTATGGTGCTTTCTTCTGACTGTGATCTTATGTTGTAGATATGTTTAACAAAAATTGACTTCATTTGTCTCCAGGAGAAAGGCTGATTCAGCATCAATCAGACAACCTGGCAGTGGAGATTCTCATCAACCCAGTGGCAGTTTCTGTGAAAACTTCCATCAAGGTATGTGCTTGTGTTGATTACTTAGTCCCTCTCCCTCTTTTCCACCTTCTTTTTTTTCTCTTGTTGAAACATGAAAATAAATTTACTGGCTCCAGAATTATTGTTGTCTACATGAAACAAGTGTTTGTCTTCATCTTTCATGATGATGTGCCAAGGATATGTGATGACTCATATTGGTAGAATAATTGGCCTTTTTGGAGCTGCTGATGGCTTATTATTGTGCTTCTTGCTTTAAAAGAAGTGTCTTTGCACACTTGTTACTTGTTTTCTATATTGACATCCTAGCTCATCCTGTAAAAAGGGACACATGATTGATGATTGACACATGTAGGCAAGTTACCAGCGTGTGAAAGAATAGGAACAATGGGGTGTGGTGCCGCAACAGCCTTCAAGGTTATGTGAGAGAGAAGATAGCTGATTCTGTTGTGTGCCATCATTGGTGTACCATTATTGCAAGTCTAATCTAGCAACGTCTCCCAGTCCAATGTAGCAACGTCTCCCAGTCTAATGTAGCAATGTCTCCCAGTCCAATGTAGCAACAAATGTCTCCCAGTCTAATATAGAAGCATTTGTCTCCCAGTCTAATATAGAAGCATTTGTCTCCCAGTCTAATGTAGCAGCAGTTGTCTCCCAGTCTAATGTAGCAGCAGTTGTCTCCCAGTCTATTGTAGTAGCAGTTGTCTCCCAGTCTATTGTAGAAGCAGTTGTTGCCTCCAAGTCTATTGTAGAAGCAGTTGTCTCCCAGTCTAATGTAGCAGCAGTTGTCTCCCAGTCTAATGTAGCAGCAGTTGTCTCCCAGTCTATTGTAGAAGCATTTGTCTCCCAGTCTAATGTAGAAGCAGTTGTCTCCCAGTCTAATGTAGAAGCATTTGTCTCCCAGTCTAATGTAGCAGCAGTTGTCTCCCAGTCTAATGTAGCAGCAGTTGTCTCCCAGTCTAATGTAGCAGCAGTTGTCTCCCAGTCTATTGTAGAAGCAGTTGTCTCCCAGTCTAATGTAGCAGCAGTTGTCTCCCAGTATATTGTAGAAGCAGTTGTTTCCAGTCTAATGTAGAAGCATTTGTCTCCCAGTCTATTGTAGAAGCAGTTGTTGCCTCCCAGTCTATTGTAGAAGCAGTTGTCTCCCAGTCTAATGTAGCAGCAGTTGTCTCCCAGTCTAATGTAGTAGCAGTTGTCTCCCAGTCTAATGTAGCAGCAGTTGTCTCCCAGTCTAATGTAGCAGCAGTTGTCTCCCAGTCTAATGTAGCAGCAGTTGTCTCCCAGTCTAATGTAGCAGCAGTTGTCTCCCAGTCTAATGTAGAAGCAGTTGTTGCCTCCCAGTCTAATGTAGAAGCAGTTGTTGCCTCCCAGTCTAATGTAGCAGCAGCAGAAGTTGCCTTCCAGTCTAATGTAGCAGCATCAGAAGTTGTCTTCCATCTATTGTAGCAGCAGCAGCAGTTGTCTTCCCATGTATTGTAGCAGCAGCAGTTGTCTTCCCATGTATTGTAGCAGCAGCAGTTGTTTCCCGTCTAATGTAGCTTAGAAAATTGTCTCCCAAAATATTGTAAAGCAGTTGTTGCTTAGTCTAATGTATAAGCAGTTGTTCCCAGTCTAATGTAGAAAGCAGTTTTCCCAGTCTAACATACTGATGTGTCCCAAAAAATGTGTCAGTGTTTACACCTCAAACACTTCCTAAAGCCAAAGCCACTGTGTATCTGAGTTTGTTTGACATTTGTGTCTGTTTACACTAGGGCTGTACCGAATATTCTCTTCGAATTCGCTTCGGGGCCGAATAGTTGCGGTCGGGCCGAATACGAATAGTGGTTACCTTACTCCTGTTTCTGCATACAGTGTGATGGACTGAAAAAACTCTCATTAACACAATAGTTGCTGTTGCCTTAGTCTGTCGTAGCGGGGCAAACTGCGACCCGGTTGCGTGGTACAAACTGCATAAAATGCCAGCCGCAGTGTGTGTGTGTGTAAGAGAGAGAGAGAATATGCATTTTTCTTTCTTTCAGGGTGTCTTTGCCCAAATCAGATTTGAAGATATTGCTAACGAGAATATAAAGGTGCGTTTAAATTACATCGAACGAGTTGTCTTGGCCGAGCGAACGCATGGTTTTGAAATGTAAGAGAGGGGGGGAGTTGGCCCGAAGTTGACTAAAAAACATCAGAAAACTTAAGTCATTTTTCAGCCATGTTATGAGAAGAGGGAAAACAGAACATTTGGTGACCACTGGAAAGATCTGTAGAAGGAGGGATAGAGGAAGACAACGAGAGAAGATTCTTGACAGTCTTGTTGCCTGGCATGGAGGTGTGTCAGCACACGAACTGATACATGCTGCAGGAGATAGCAGATTGTGGAGAGGCATGATCGCCCTCGCCAGTCGGCAAGGCACCTGATGATGATGATACACTATTCGTATTCATATTCGGCAGAATAGTTGGTTCCACTATTCGTATTCAGCTGAATAGTTGAAAATCCCTATTCGGTACAGCCCTAGTTTACGTGGTCAACACTTCCTAAAAGCCAAAGCCTGTGTGTAAGAGAGAGAGTTTTGCATTTTTATTTGTTCACAGGGTCAAACTTTGCCCCAATTTGAAGATATTGCTAACTGAGTGTATAAAGGTGCGTTTGTTTGACATTTTTGTCTGTTCACACTTCAAACACTTCCTAAAGCCAAAGCCACATCATTTGTGTGTATCTGAGTTTGTTTGACATTTTGTCTGTTGACCACTTCAAACACTTAGAAAAGGATAGAAAGACCACGAGTGAAGTATTCTTGAGTCTTGTTGCCTGACAGGTTTCAGCCTGTTCAACTTGATACATGCTGCAGGAGAAAGCCAGGCATGATCGCCCTCGCTGAGAGTTTGCAAGGCACTGATGTCTATACACACTTCAAACACTTCCCCAGAATAGTTAAGCCACTGTGTGTATCTGAGTTTGTTTGACATTTTTGTCTGTTTACACCTCAAACACTTCCCAAAGCCAAAGCCACTGTGTGTATCTGAGTTTGTTTGACATTTTTGTCTGTTCACATCTCAAACACTTCCCAAACCCAAAGCCACTGTGTGTATCTGAGTTTGTTTGACATTTTAATTTATGAGAAATTGGCAAGAAAGCTAAAGATAGGCTGAATCTAGTGGGAGTGTGAAATTTTTGTCTGTTTAATCAAACTCTAGTCCCAAGGAACTGTGCATACGAGTGACCCCAATGTGGCATGAAAGCGGATTTTAGAGTTCTTTTGAGCTTCATTGGGTTTCAAGCATTAACAAGCAGAAGCAATTGTTTGCAGATAGGACTCATCAAAGGGGAGGGGCACAGAGAAGATGTGATTAAATTTGGGGATGTTCTCATCTGCGACTCTACAGTTGTGTGGTGGAGTAGGTTGTGAATCCACATGGTTGGGTGCAGGAATAGGATAGTTGGCAGAATCTCGTCAGAAAGGTTGGGACGAGGCTGACAGCACAGCCAGCTGCTGCCTAGCAAGTAGTCGGGACAGTGACAGGCTAGACAAGGCACATTGAAGTGTATATTCATATACAGTTTATTGAACCATGTTATGATGAATCCGACACACTAGACAACCAGTCTGATAAAACAGCATCCAGGCAGCCTCATAGTACCAAACATGGAGTGGTCTTATTGTCTACAGTGTCGCAACTACAGACAGTTTTAGCAACTTTTAGTGATCTTGTATTTGAACTTCACTGAATTAATTGTTTCTTCTTGATCCACAGAAACTCCTTATAGCCCTGGCTCCAACCAAATACATCATCTATGCTGGCTACACCTTTCAGGGCTCTGGAGCCTGGGTGCTTCAGGATGACACCTTTGCTTTCAGTCACTTGGCACAGGTGAGCAACTCTCGCATTTGTGCCCTGTGTTAGCACATCAGATAAGTTTTGCTGTTTGCTGCTACTTTGGCAAGTTACAGCTCTCAAGTTTTGTGTTTATCCTGTGTTGCTGTGTCATCTGAGATAGACAGGTGGTTCTGTTTATTACTTCTAGGCAAGTTACAGCTCTCATGTTTTATGTTTATCCTGTGGTACTCTGCCATTTGAGATAGACAGGTGGTTCTGTTTGTGGTTACCTGGATTGATCAGCCTAAAATTGGGTACCAGGAACAGCAGAAGCTTTTGCCAGTATATGAAGTAGAATCAGACACATATTTAGATAGCATTGTACTGTGACCTGACCTGCCTTTGGGAAACATCGCCCAATGATGGGGAATCGTACACATATTTAAGTATGAGACTTGTAGCTACTCATGTTTCGATGGGACATCATGCTCACAGATCCAAATACAGTGGCTGCTGGGCTGATGCAGTTGCCAGCTGTTAATCTATGCCAAATCAATTATCATTCACATCAAGGACCTGTTTCAGGTCATGTTTGTTGATTCTTCATCATTTTTGCTCAGGCATTTCTTCTTCTTCTCCTCCCTTTCCTTTACCTTTATACCACTACTACTTCTTCCCCTCCTCTTTTCTTTTTCTTCTCTTTCCCCTCCTTCATCTCTTCTTCTTCTTCTGCTTTTTCTTTTTTTTTTCTGCATGTGCCCTTGAAATGGTGGCTGGCTTTTTGTGTTGTAGTTTACAGCTAGGCTGCCACATCTATGTCTTTTAACCCTGAATTATTAACCTTTTGCGACACCCTTGTTAAGGGACAACATCCATACTTCCACAAAACAGGGCCCTAAACCCACACTGGAATGACATTTCTGTCTCTGTCGCATGTATTTCACCTGCTCTAATTATGCTACTGTTGACTGGACTATGTTTCTTGTAACTTATGGAGTGGTGTCTTCCTTGTGCAGGTGTTCAAGAATATTGACGTGGAGAATGCACTGAAGCAGAACATCGAGGCTAACCTGACCATTCATACACTGGCAGACAGCAACTGGGGGACCAGCATCAGCAAGGCAGACTTCACCAACAACCTGCGCATCCAGCTCAACCCACCGCAGAAGCTGGACAACATTCATGGTGTCCTACAGTTCACCGCTTATGTTGGAGGATTCCTCAGGGTTGTCCCTGTGACCAGCCTCCTCCAAGCCTCGGAACAGTTTGGCAACATTAGTTTTACCCGTCCTACTTTGTATATCTTTCCAGGTTGTCAGGGTGATTCGGCGTTGTTTGGGGTCAATGGGTTTAATTTGTTGGTAAATGGTGGGTATAACAGACGAGCTTGCTTTTGGGATTTTGCTAGGCATTTAGATAGACTTGATGCCGTACTGATGACCCATTTGGGTACAGATAATATCTTTGGTCTTAGCACAGTCTTACAGAGGAAAGTTCTGGAAAACATCCATCCACAGATTGGCTATTTGTACTTCAATGCCCCAGAGAAATTGGCCAGTTTGTCTTCTGGTGATGATGGCGACAGCAGTGCCAGTAAGAGTCCCAGCTTGATTATCAATCTGGTGGAAGAGGCTAACAAGCTGGCCCACATGGCCAAGCAGCTAGGCATCAGTCCACACCCGTGCTCCCGCAGTGCCACTGCTGTCACTTGTGACCCGGTGAACCTCTACCACAAGCTGGGACATGGGTCCCTGGATATGTATGTTTTGAACCCAGTTGCTGATAGCAAGGAGCTGAAGGAATTTTACCAGCTCTGGAGCAAACAGACTGCCAGCTTGGATGCAAGTGGGCCATTTTCTTTACCAAGTTCATTGTCTGTCTGTGCTCTGCTGGTCTGGAAACCTTACAATGTTGATGACAAGATTGTGAGAATTTTCTTTCCTGGCAATGCTCCACAACATAAAGTCATTGAGGGGTTTGAGAAAATGAAAAGCTACGGTTTTCTCAAACTTGCGTCGTGTACAACACGAGACCTGACTAGACCGGCGCCGATAAAGAAACCTGTTGGGCTAAATAAAGCAGCAGGACCTGGAGGCAGGAGTCAGGGGAAAGCACCTACATCGGCTAGAAGTGACACTACCAGAGGCATCAACGGAAGGGTAGAATCTCCTCGCAAGGAAACCAAACCTGTGGCTACAAAAACTGAAGTTAAGGCATCATCACCTACAAAACCTAGCCGACCCATCAAGGATGAAAACAACAAGAAGAGCGTAAAAGAAAGAGAGAAACCTAAAGCTCTTGAGACTACAAAATCAAAAACAGTGACAGCAAAGAGAGGATGAGAAGGAAACTAAGGTCAGAAGAGAGGCTAAACCTGGTCCACATAAAGCTCCCTCACCAACTAAATCTCCCTCACCTCCCAAGGCTTCATCACCTCCTAAATCCCCAACAAAGACCAAGGCACCAGCAGCTGCTGCAGCTAAAGTAGAGGAGTCAAAATCTGTTGCCGCAGCTGCTCCTTCTGAACAGAGCGGTGCACCTCCAGTTGACGGTCATGTGACTAATAATGGTGTGCAACCAGAGGGAGAGCCAGGGCAGGTTAGCCAGCAGGAGCAAGGCAGCTCTCAGAGTGCTGTAGAGATCATCATCTCTGAGGCCCGAGATGCAGTTGGAGAGGTGGACGATATGTCTGTCTCTATCTCCTCATCAGTGGACAAACAAAAGTTGGAGGACTTGGGGATCTATGACCAGCAGCAGAATGCTGATTACATTAATGGTAAAGATGCCTTTGAAGTGGAAGAGGAGGAGAAACCGCAAGCTCTGCCAGAGCCTCCAGAGATGCTGGAGTCGCCCAGTCTGGAGACTGATTCCATGCCAGACTACAGCTCCAAGATTGAGTCAGACCAGCAGGAACTGTCAGAGTTTAGCCGTGCTGAAGAAGAGCTCTTGGAGCATGATGACAAAAGTGAGACCACCTATGACCCAGCCCAAGAAATTCCCCTGTCTCCAGAACCATTCCCAGGAGGAGAACAAGACTTTGAGTATTCAGCTCCAGCCGAGGCACCGCCTGGTTTTGAAGCACCTGTGTTCTCTCATGATGGTCCAGACATCGTTGTCAGCTCCAACCAGCCGGCTGTGGAACACAACATCCAGTATGGTATTGATGATTCCTCACATGGACGAGACATGGGCGGTATTCAGGAAGTGGATGAGGAAGAGAATGACGATGTCAAGGGTGACAAAAAGGCCCTTCAGGAAATGGGCATTTATGATGATGAGGACGACAAAAACGATGAAGAGAATGGTTTTGAAAAAGATTCTAATCCTGATAGTGAAGAAATCAGAAGAGATATTCAGTACACACCTCAAGAAAAATCAGCAGATGAATCTGTGCAGGAAGGCTTGGATGAGGGGATTGAAGATGAAAGGTTGTCAGAGACTGGTGAAAGAAACTCCAGCTCAGAAGCTGATCATGAGGAGAAGCATTTAGATGAGCACTTGACCGAGTCAGATTTGGCAGCAAGTGAAGACAGGGATTCCCTGGACGGTGAGCTCCCCGACCGTGGCCCTGCATCTCCCACGATCAATGGGAAACATTCACTAGATATTGGGCTTGCTGATGCCTCTAAGAACGCCGCGGTGAACTCCTTTGTTGGTGTGGACAAACAAGGAGGTGGCTCACAGAGTCCGCGAATTGACAGTGCAGGTGAGGATGGGCAGGCTGCATCCTTTGATCCTCTGTCACAGTGGGGTCAGCCTATGGGACTACCTTCTCCACCATCAGGTGAGAATGCAGGCGCTACTGAAAGCAGGAAAGCTGGGGTTTCTAGATCTAACGGCACAGACAAGCGGCCAGGGACGGCCAGCACTCCAAAACCCACTGAGACCAGAACTGCTCGCCATGCCTCAGCTCCACCTGAAGGAAAGAAACGGCCGGCAACAGCCCCTGCCACTGCCGGTAAAGGCACAACCCGGCCAGGTTCTGCATCAAAGAGACCTGTCTCAGGGGTCAACAAGTCCACCAGTGTTAAAGCCCCAACTCTTCCTCCTATGACTGTCTTCTACGTGGATCTAACATACATACCCAATCACGGTGATTCCACATACAGTGATGTAGAATTTTTCAAAAGAATCAGAGCTCGTAATTACGTCGTTAGCTCCCTGTCTCCAAATCCCCAAGTGCTGGACTCTTTGCTGGAAGCCAAGGCCACCTGGGAGCAGAAGGATCTAGAGGTCACCATCATCCCCACTTATGACAATGAAATTCTCCGCCACTGGATGGCTCTGAACAAGGAAAAGCTGCAGGAGTTGCGGGTAGATCTGGCACCAGCAGTCAGCCGATGTACGGTGCAGCTTCAGGATCTGGAGACTAGTCTGCCAGCATTTCGACTTGAGGTTTGAGTCTTGACGACCTTGTCTCCCAAACCTTGATGTCATCCTCGGGGTTATCAACAGACACCTGCACACAGACATGACCAAGATCTCTAACAGCTTTGATTGTTCATCATATTAATCATGCCCCACAGTAGTGACCTTGCATCTGTGTCTAACTACAAACATTGCTGCATTTTTTCCCCTCATGTGCTGGCTTTTTTTTCTCTCTATTTGTAGGTTTCCCAAAATAAAAATGCCAATTTATTGAATGTCTTTCATAATAAATATTCTTCTAGGGTGATTGCAGCATGGTAATTGTGTGCCACAGAACATCTCGTACGACACTTTTTTTAGTTGATCGTTACCAAGTTTGAGTGAGGATAGCAGGACAGTATTCCTTGTATCCATGTGTGTGTGTGTACTGTGTGTTTGAGCTTGCAGCAGCCGACTGTCTTAGAGCAGCCATGGAAACATTTCACATCTAGAACTGATGAATGTTAGTTTCAAAAGAGAAGATTTTAGAGAAACTGAACTCTTTGACTAAGCAACTTGGTGATGTCATGTCAGCAGTTAGTTACATTGGTGATCCTTCCCGCTTCAAAGGTTTTTCTGGCACATTGTGTTGTGGTTTACAGCTAGACTGTGATATCTGCACCTCTTGACCCACAATCTGATTTCAGCAAGACTCTAATCGGCTGTAAAAGGACATGCTTGTTGGGGAGGAAGTGATTCTATTTTGATCCCGCCTCCGCTCCGGAGTGGGACCTGAGAACCCACGCAGGGAACATTGCTGATGAATGCTGGGAGTGTTTGGTTGTGGAGACAACTAGAGAACGATTGTTCAACCGTGTTCCTTAGGTGCATTCAGATCAGGGGGTTTTGAAACAAAATTATTCCATCTCTGAAAGATAAAGAGATTTGCTTTGTCTTTCTGTTGCTGTAGTGGATGAGTCATCAGTACCACATACATTCTGTATGCAAGGGTGATCTGACAACTGTAGGGAGTGGCAAATTAATTGAATTCAATGACCTTTTTGTTCAGTGATTTCTGTATAGCCAATAGCGGGTAGTGGCAGGTTTCTCCTGTCTGTGTTGTTGCTACAGTGATATAATATTGTGATAACGGTACAGTGTCTACATGGTCAGCTGGTGGTTTAGGCGGTATGATAGTCAGCAAGGCTGTTGATATTCTGATGCAAACATCAGTTGGAGAATAATGTTCTGTGGATAATCCTGGGCTAGCTGATATCTTGTCACCTGTCACTTGACTTCAGCCCTCCTGGGCCAGCTAATATCTGGGCGTGGTATGTTGTGTTCAGTCTTGTAATCATCTTCCAATCCTGGTTTGTCACATGGTTTTGTCTTGTGGATTGGGACCTGGCATATATCTGTACACCTGCCTCCCAGAGATTCCTTCTGTTCAGCCGAAAGTTGAGAGGGGGCCGGGGAATGGGTGGTTAATTTATATTTGAATGACATTTAAGGTATTTGACAGCACTGGTTGTGACACGTGACACACTTAGCTCTGGACTATGTATCTCGATTTTTATGCTTTCCCCTTCCGATCCAGAAAAGAGAATGGTGGAGCGCTAGTGAATTGGTCTCCCCACATCATATCACAGGGTGTTGTGACTGACAGGTGTGTGGTTGATTTTTTTTTTTTTCGTTAGTTGCAGCACAGGAGAGTTTTATTATTGTCATGTGTCATCTTTATTTGATTCAGTTGTGTATTGCATTCAGCTGTTTATGTTTTCATGTAGCCCTGTGCCATGAACTGTGTTTAGCTCCACCTCCATCATTAACTGAAGCTTATCTCCATCTCAGCACATTCCTTTACATTGTGTGGTCATGTTCATAGTCTTTCATCTTCATTTGATTTCATTTAAAATAATGCTTTGTGTTATTAATTTAAATACATTTTGTAGTCTAGAGCTTCTTAAAATTGTTTATTCACAACCTGTTTGGGTCAGACATCATTGATAAGTATCGCTTCATTCTGTATTAAAATGACACCTGGCAAAGATAATTTTCAAACTTAAAAAATAAAAAAGTGTCTTCGACCCTTTAATATATTTTCAGATAGCCTTCGGGTAGAGAAGCAGTGCTACAGATCTTTCACTTGTTGTCTTTCATGTTCAGTGCATATCACGTGAAACTCATTGTGTAGGGTGTGTGGTTTGTGACGGGAGACCAACTAGCTGCTGATGTTAGGCTGTTGTTGTGTCCAGCTGTCTCACCTATGGCTACCGCACAAGAAAACACGTTTAGATCCGGGCTCATTAGCTTCAACAATCATGGTATTACTGAATCAAAAATGCTTTCACTTTGTCACCACAGCCTCCACTGTCCATCTAGTTGGTTAGACTAGTACTGGGACAAGGTAGCACTCACACTGTTGTACCTAGTAATCACTACAGGCATTTATCCTTCCAGACACAGATTGTGCCCATTGTTCCATTAAAGGCATCGTCATCCGCTGTTGGGCTGTTATTAACACCACAGCTATTTATTTATTGTTTGTCTGCGAGTGGCCATTCTTTCAAGGAGACCTGTATGGCTACTTGAATTGTTTTAAACAGATGTTTTATTTCTTTGCGTGATGATGTCCTGACAATCATGGGAATTTCACAAAAAGCTACCTTGGAGTTTGATTTCATCCCCATCTTCTTATTATCATATCAAAGAACCAGAGCCCAAAGATTCTGTTAGCTGTGCCAGTGACCTTAGTGCTCTAGAGCCCATTGTTGCAACTGTTGCTGTGCCAGTGACCTTAGTGCTCTAGAGCCCATTGTTGCAACTGTTGCTGTGCTAGTGACCTTAGAGCTCTAGAGCCCATTGTTGCAACTGTTGCTGTGCCAGTGACCTTAGAGCTCTAGAGCCCATTGTTGCAACTATTGCTGTGCCAGTGACCTTAGAGCTCTAGAGCCCATTGTTGCAACTGTTGCTGTGCCAGTGACCTTAGAGCTCTAGAGCTCATTGTTGCAACTGTTGCTGTGTACTTAAGTTGAGTTGTATGTTTAACATCTGACTATATTCCTACTTCTTGTTCGAAGGTCTCCAGTGAAGGAAATAGGGAGTTGGCAATTGTGCATTGCTTTGTTGTAAAAATGACATTTGTCTGCAATGTTGATACATTTAATATCAGATTTTCATCTAACATCAAATTTGACATATTGTGAACACAATGCCTGCGACCAGTAGATTGTATGGTTGTCATTTGTTGTTGGCTGAAACAGTCTTGTACGTTGTGATGGTTTGACATGTGATATTTCATTGTGCATGACATGGGGGAATGTGATGTTTCTGTGCTACACAAACTGTTTTGTTTCCCTGTTTAACATTCAATGTTTTCAGCTAGGTTTAACATTGGATGTTTGCGGCTAGGTTTAACACTGGATGTTTTCAGATATGTTTAACATTGTTTTTTCCCAGCTAGGTTTAACATTGGATGTTTTCAGCTAGGTTTAACATTGGATGTTTTCAGCTAGGTTTAACATTGGATGTTTTCAACTAGGTTTAATATTGGATGTTTTCAGCTAGGTTTAACATTGGATGTTTTCAGCTAGGTTTAACATTGGATGTTTTCAGCTAGGTTTAATATTGGATGTTTTCAGCTAGGTTTAACATTGAAATGTTTTCAGCTAGGTTTAACATTGGATGTTTTCAGCTAGGTTTAACATTGGATGTTTTCAGCTAGGTTTAACATTGGATGTTTTCAGCTAGGTTTAACATTGGATGTTTTCAGCTAGGTTTAACATTGGATGTTTTCAGCTAGGTTTAACATTGGATGTTTTCAGCTAGCTTTAACATTGGGTGTTTTCAGCTAGGTTTAACATTGGGTGTTTTCAGCTAGGTTTAACATTGGATGTTTTCAACTAGGTTCTATATTGGATGTTTTCAGCTAGCTTTAACATGGGATGTTTTCAACTAGGTTTAAAATCAGATGTTTTCAACTAGGTTTAATATTGGATGTTTTCAACTAGGTTTAATATTGGATGTTTCAGCTAGGTTTAACAATGGATGTTTTCAGCTAGCTTGAACGTGGGATGTTTTCAGCTAGGTTTAATGTGGGATGTTTCAGCTAGGTTTAACAGAAGTTTTCAGCTAGGTTTAACAGAAGTTTTCAGCTAGGTTTAATATTGGATGTTTCAGCTAGGTTTAACAGAAGTTTTCAGCTAGGTTTAACACTAAACCATTAATTTAGACATTGGGGCCCATGTTAGCACAGTAGGAGACTCGCTTTCTAATCCAGCTGAGACTCTCTGCAGCCCACGGCCTGTATTCAAAATGGGGTGATTTCTGGGAGTTCACCCAGCCTCTAGGAACTGGGAACCAGAGTTAACACTCTGGGGTAAATGGAGGAAAGTTACTGTAGCTACAGTTTTTTTTGCGGACGGCGACACAGGCGGACATTTTCTTATCAGCTGTCCTTAGTGGTGGCAGAGCACTTATTGTTTCTAGCCGTGTGCATTGACGCTGATTCACATCTCCCGACTTGACCTTTACCTTAGACATGCTACTCCATGTTGTCTGCATTTTACCATCAAATAACAGGATAGCATTAGAAATGGGCAGAGAATCATTCATATATTGTTGACCCTAAAAAAATTCTAAATGTTCTTTTGAAGTTCTATGTTTGAGTTCATACCAAGACAAATTCATATTAAATAGTACCTTAGCTCCTGGCCGACCCACACCGCGACACATTTGTTATAAATAGTACCTTAGCTCCTGGCCGACCCACACAAGGACACATTTGTTATAAATAGTACCTTAGCTCCTGGCCGACCCACACAAGGACACATTTGTTATAAATAGTACCTTAGCTCCTGGCCGACCCACACAAGGACACATTTGTTATAAATAGTACCTTAGCTCCTGGCCGACCCACACAAGGACACATTTGTTATAAATAGTACCTTAGCTCCTGGCCGACCCAGCCCAAAATGAGTAGCAGGAAATGTTCCTTGGATAAATAGTACCTTAGCTCCTGGCACATCACCCACAAGGGCTGACATTTGTTATAA